ATAATAATAATAATAATAATAATAATAATAATAATAATAAATCTTATATCTCACCCCTCTCTCAATATAGGGACTCAAGGGATGCCATGGCCATCCTCTGAGGCTGAGAGAGTGTGACCTGCCCAGGGTCACCTGGTTTTCATGGCTGAGCCAGGATTCGAAACATGGTCTCTAGAGTCCTAGTCCAACACTCCACTATGCCAAGCTAGCTATCAAATCCCATTGAACTCAGAAGGAAAAGAAGGAAATCCCCCCCCCCCTTGGATTCTGCCCTACAGGTTTTCTTGGCTGTCTCCAACTGTCTCCATAATTAGCACAATTAGATACCACTTTTATTGCCTTCGTCTCCATCGTTTGGCATCCTGGGATTTGTAATTTGGTGAGTGATCTGCAGCTCTTTCACACTGCAGGAATAAAACAGTTTTGACCGTACTTTAACTGTCATGGCTCCATCCTTTGGCACCATGGGATTGGTAGTTTGGTGTGATGTTCCGCCTGGTCTGTCAGAGAGATCTGGTGCCTCACCAAACTACAAATCCCAGAGTTCTGTAGGATAGAGCTGTGGCAGTTAAAGTGGTGTCAGACTACTTTATTTTTGTTTTTCTCAGTGGGGAATCAGTATGGTGTAGTGGTTTGAGCATTGGACTATGACTGGAGACCAGGGTTTGAATCCCTGCTTGGCCATGGAAACCCACTGGATGTATCCACTTCTTCAGATGCCCTGATAGACACATGTTTCAAAGTACAGGTTGAGTCTCCTTTATCCTGAAATCGGAAATACTCCAAAATCCAAAATTGTCCACTTGGGTGGTTGTGAGGGTTACACCTTTGTTTTCTGAAATTTCAGTGTACACGAGCTTTGTTTCATGCTCAAAATTATTAAAAATCTTACGTATAAAATTACCTTCAGGCTATGTATATAAGGTGTATACAAAACATGAATGGATTTCAGGTTTAGACTTGTGCTCCATTTCTAAGATATCTCATTGTGTATATACAAATATTCCAAAATCTGAAAAACTCTGAAATCTAAGACACTGAAGCATTTCAGATGAGGGAGACAGCCTGTATTGTTGCACATTGCTACACAATCATGGGAAGTGAAATAGGATACAAGGTGATGGAAATTGTGAGTCTGGCCATAAACCCTCAGTGACCTATGTGAGATGATACAGGTCTTTCAGAAACGGTGTAAGTCAGGGGTAGGCAACCTTTCCCCTTTAAGGGCCGAGGGACTTCAGCTCCCAGAAGCCTCAGCCGTGTTGGCCAATAGTCCCATGTTGGCCAATAGCTCCTGGGATTCTGGGAGCTGAAGTCCCTCGGCCCTTAAAGGGGAAAGGTTGCCTACCCCTGCCTTAAATAGATTGCAAGACCCAGTGGACTCCTAAAGCATAAAAAAGCAGCAAATTTGCAAAGCCAAAAAAGGATATCTGTCTGCTTTGTATTTTTGTGGGTTTTGGGTGGTATTGCCACTTTTGGCAGTTTGTGGGCCTCCAGAGGCTCCCAGGGTAGAAATTTAGACCCAGTCCTATGGCAGTTGCCCACTTCAAGCTTAAGAACTGTGTTCAGGGCATTTGTCTCTTAATGTTTTGTTCTGTACTGGCATTCAGAAACTGAGGGGGGTTGCAGACTGCCAGAAATAGTGCAAATTGAGTGCACTTTTAAGGTTAGGATTAGTGCTAGGGAGTCATGGGAATTGTTTTTTTTTTCCTGAGACATTGAGCCTTCTCTGTCAGAGAGCCCTCAATAAACTACAGTTCCCATGATACCCTAACCCTAACCCTAAAATTGGATTCAGTTTGCATTATTTCTGGCAGTCTGCAAAGGCCCTTAATTAGGAAAGATTGCAGTTTGGTGACCTATAACATTATGAGACCCAGGGGCCTTTTCTTATCCTAACCTTAGCATGTGGTGGACATAGGAACCACCTTTTTTTTTGACAACAGCTATGTTTTTTGGGGTTCTTGTGATATCTTTAGACAACATTAAAGCTGGTCCCCAGATCCTTATTTGCATGACTCTTTGAAACAGGGCTCAACTGATAAACTGAATAAGGGTCTTATGCCCCTGCATCCCAGCCTAAACTTGGTACTTATTGCCTTTTCTGACTTATGGTGACCCTATTATTATGGCAAGATTTGTTCAGAGTGGGTTTGCCCTTGTCTTCTTCTGAGTCTGAGAGAGAGAGTGATTTTTAATAGTATTGTAAGGGGTGGGTTGCATTGTGAGATATGAAATGTGGCCCGGTTGCGTTATGCAAAGGGGCGGGATAACAATAAATTTTATTATTATTACTATTGACCAAGGTCACCTAGTGGGTTTCAGTGCTTGAGCAGGGATTCGAACCCTGGTC